TTAAAATGGTGTCCTTCATCAAATTTGAAGGGAGAGTGTTGCATTAGTGTTGTCATCTATTGGTAGCTGTTTACCAACTGGTTGAAAAATGTTTCATTAGCCTGGTACATGATTCTCTTGGCCCATTCAGTTTCCATAGGTTTCCATAGGTTGTGAAGAATATATTGTTAGGAAGGATGGTCAGTCCTCTATGGGCCATAGAATAGCTAAAATAATGTAAGAACTGTGGCTTCATCTGAAATTTTTAATCATGCCTTATCAGAATAATGTCCTCCATACTCAAGGAGCTTTTGCTAGATAATTGAGCATTACTGAGTATTTTTCCTCATCTGCCTTTATTTGCCCTTTCACTTGCAAAGTCATTTCAAGATGCATACTGATTTGGATAATAAGGTTCTGCAGGAAGCCATATTATATGGAATCGGAGGTTGTGAACAAATTTTCTCATTCTAAATGGGCTCCCTAGCATTTCTAAGATCTTGTTTTCTGTGCAAGTTCAAAACTCTTCAATTTTCAATAAATAAATAATGAAATGCACCTGTTTATTTTACCTGTTTTATTTTTCTTCTTTCCAGTCCCACAAATTAATATGCAAGATATTATTTGTTGATATCAATTCATGCATAGTAAATCCCTTGATATTAATATTTTTGTTTTGCTATAGACATAGACAGTCTTGCAAATGATACATGTTTTAAACTATTTCTTTGCTTATTAAATATTAGTTTGGTACAAAGAGTGAAAATATGGCATCCTGTAACTGATCTAAGTGTAGTTCAAGCACATGAAAGCACTGCCTTGGTTCAGCACCTTGTTCTGTCTTAGTACATTAATGATGGTCTAACTTAGACGGGATTAGCACTCCACTCAGTTCAGTGTGAAGAACTTTCAATGGAAATTAAGTACCTTCATGCTGTTTTGTCATTTGCTAACTGTTCATTGGTACCATTAAAAGTCAGCAGGGATGTAGCTCCTACATCCATCCTATTTTTTTTTTCATTTGAAAATGTCCCTCTGTTCTCTGAAAATCAGATCTCAAAAGTGAGGTCTGAGCCATGCTAAATTTTTAGTTGCAAGTTTAATACTGAGTTCTGTCACTTGAGGAAGTACAAATGGCAAAAAATTATCTGACTTTTTAAAAAACCCTAAACATAACTTCTTCAAGTGACAGGACTTCATGAAAAACATTTTAGAACAGGGTGGGCAGGTATGGATGCATGGGTCACTTGCTAAAACCAAGAGTATGTTCACTCCATTTAGGCCTGTGGGGATGGAACTCCACATATTAGAGGAAACATATGTTCCTGCTCAGAAGAGCATACCTGTGATACATTTTCCCTTCATATGATGAAATAAAAATTGAATATTTTTTCATGCCACTAGGCCACATGCTAATTCCTTGTCTTCATTCTACATTGTTGATGTGTAATGGTAATGTCAGGATATTCCAGGATGGAAGAACCTGGCAAATGGATGAATGCAATATTAAATATTACTATGATACAAACAGTGAAAGTACTCCATACAGAAACATAACTATATTTCAAGCACACGTAACTGCCACCTATTGGAGTCTTCTATAAGCAGACTCCAGGGTGGATGGAGTGTGGAACAACCTCTCCATTCACCTATAGCTCATCATAACCCCCCAAACCCATTCCAGAGCTAAGTAAAACCTGCCATAACCAGTTTTCAGATAGTATGCATGCCTGCAAAGGAGGGAAAATATGTATACACCCTTGATATCCACTGGGGGTTGGTTCCAGGACCCCTCATGGATACTAGAGTCCATGGGTGCTCAAGTCCCATTACATACACTGGCAAAGTAAAATTATATCCCTTATTTAAAATGGCAAAATTAAGGTCTTTTTTTTTTTAAATGAAGACATGGATAGTTGAATTTGTGGATGCAGAATCTGTGGATATGGGGTAGGGGAAAACAATTGTATATTATAAGGTATCATTTCATCCTGTGCCATTTATATTATTCTCTATTCAAACTGCATGAATTGTATCTACTATTAAAGTTCATAACCCCAAAAAAGTTTCCCCAAACTTCTGTGTATATTGACAGCGCTTCATAAATAAACTATAATAATAGTAATAATGATGATGATGATGAACATTAGTGGGGAGTTTTAAATTAGTAAATTATATTTGGTTAAATATAAGAGTGCCATTTATAATAGGGATATAAATATTTGCATACTTCATCCATATATGCAAGAAATTAGAAGTTCAGGTGTTCTCTGCTCACTGGGTGAAATCACAAGTTTTAATACATTTTTATTTTATTTTATTTTATTTTCAATTGCAGACTTTTTTGAAAAAATAGTTTTGCACAAAAATGTTTTGCATAAAAGACACTATTTTTTGTGAGGAAACTGGGCTTTTGCATTAAACTACATTTTTTTACACAAATAAGTTGTTTTCACAGGAAAAAGGCACAAAAGTTGAAAATCTTGTAGGGATTGACCTTTTTTATATATAAACTGTCTTAGCATGTAAAGAGACACCCTTTTTCCTCAAAGACAAGAACATTTGTGAATATTTCCTCATTTATCATGATAACCACACCAACACATACATTTACACACAGTCTGCCACTAATTTAATGAAAATCCAGTGCATTTTTGGATACACTTCTATATGAATTTTTAATTCCAAATTCTTCTTTGTGCACTTTTAAAGAAGTGTTGCTGCTTAATCCATTGTAATGCAGGCAGCTATATTTCCTTCACTCTTAGCAATGCAGCTACAAAGAAAATAGATAGCCTATTATCTCTAGATGCTGGTTATGCTAAAGTGGAAATAATTTTTCCAGGGCTTGCGCTGGAAACTGGAAGTACCTAATTGTCTTGAAAATTGTATTGCATATGCAAAGCTATGTATACGACATTGTGAGAAGTAGACCTTTGTATTTCATTAGGACCTTACAAGAAAAATCATACCCAGTTGAAAGGAGCAGCCATTTTTAAAATCATTTCCTTTCTCTTTGTATCCAATTCATAGGAGCATACTGATTTTATTCTCAAATTAATACACTATTGTGTCACGTGGTAGATTTTAAAGTGTGTATAGGTGTGTTATATGTTTATCCTTCAGACATAAACCTATTATCCATTTTTAAAAAATACAGGGAAATTTTTAAACTATTTTTAGAAATGTAAAGATTGAATTCTAACTCAAGACGAAATGACAGTGGATATGAATCCACAGTCAGTCAATTATAATGAAGACTAATACTACATGGCCACAAAACGGTAAGCATTCTGGAGCTTCTGTAGTCTGTTTAATGTGCTGTTCGTGCATATGTGTGTCCAAAAAAGTAAAACCTTGAAATTTAATATTTCTCTTCTCTTCTATTAACTTACTATCAATTACCATTAAAGGTTCTATCCTAAGACCTCAAAGTAATGCTACAACTATACAAGTTGAGTCTAACCTGTTAGAATATCTAGTTGGAGTGCAATTGGACCATTCTGTCTTCCCCAAAATCTGTCTCTGGAGACTTTTTTTCTTCTAAATTTGTTGGACTTTTAAGCTGCTAGCTGGCTGAAGTTCTCTAGACAGTATATAATGTGTTAAAATATTAAATTTAACAATAATAGAGTAAAACAGTTAAGTTGAATGGAAAAAGTAACATTAAAATAAAGCATTTAAACCTCTTAAAAAGTTATTAGCAACTAGGAAAATTGGAAAGTCTTCACCTGATGCTAAAAAGACCAGGCCAGCCTCTCTGGAAAGGGGATCCCATAGAAGGGATTGTTGTTGTGTGCCTTCAAGTCATTTCCAACTTATGGCAACCCTAAGGCAAACCTATCATGGGGTTCTTGGCAAGATTTATTCAAAGGAGATATGCCATTGCCTTCCCCTGAGGCTGAGAGAGTGTGACTTGCCCATGGTAACCCAGTGGGTTTACATGGCCAAGCGGAGAATTGAACCCTGGTCTTCAGAGTCATAGTCCAAGGCTCAAACCACTATGCCACAATGCCACCATGCCACCATTAAAATGCTACTCATATCTCATAGCCTTGCTTCCAGAAGGAAGTAGAATTCCTGTTACCAGGTAATATGAATGGCTTCAGCCTAATGCCCCAGGGGGAGGTTGATGCCTGTTAAGATACAGTATTGTGTTATATCTCAGGGCCTAAGCAGACTGCCAGAAATAGTGTACATTAAATTGAGGCACTACCCTGGCTCAGTGCTAGGGAATCATGGGAATTGTAATTTTTTCTGAGACATTGAGCCTTCTCTGTCAGAGAGCTCTGGTGCCACAATAAATTACAGTTCCCATGATTCCCTAGCACTGAACCAAGGCAGTGCCTCAATTTAATGTGCACTATTTCTGGCAGTCTGCTTCAGCCCTTAGTTTAGACTCATACAGCCCTCCAGATTTTGTTAGCCAACAAGTCCCAGCCATTTGACCAGCATAGCCTAGGGTTGCCAGATCAAAAAATGAAAAGAGCCCCTTTACCATTTATTTTAACTGAACAAGTTCAGTTCATCTTTATTACAGTCAAATTTCAACAGGCGTTTCTTATTTTGCAACCAGATGGAGAAACAGATATATGGCAGGTCTCCATTTTCCTCTTAACCAACTGTAGGGGCGGTGCTCATTTGTTACTAAGCCAAAGAGCCAGCATTGTCCAAGACAAAGCTGGTGGTCATGACTGCACAGAACACTGTTACCTTCCCACCAAAATGGTACCTATTTATCTACTTGCATTTGCATGCTTTCAAACTGCTAGGTTGACAGAAGCTGAGACTAGTGACAGCTCATCCCATCATGTGGCACTTAGGCCTCGAACTGCCAACCTTCAGACTTTACAATCAACAGAATTGGTGTCTTAAACACTAAGCCACTGCATCCCTCTTGCCACAATCCAATAAAATACCTGGACAAATCTATCATTTTTTTGTGGGAACTATGCTAATGATTCTGCATATTTCCCTTCCCGCTTCAGTTAGCAGGCTGGAAGTGGCTGATACTTTTCTTCATTGCTACTGCCACCTGTCAAGCTTTGCCTGAAGCCTTTCAGGAACATGTCCACTTGCTTTGTGAGGGCTGCCTTTGTGGCAACAGGGAGGATAGTGGTACTCCACAGTCAAATAGGAGGAGCAGTCAACAGTGTTTGGCTGGACTGTGCTCAGCAATGACACCTGCATTTAGAACATGTCTTGTTACCACTGTTTGTAGTTTTAGGGACTCTGGTCATCAGAGGCAAGGCTGTCCCAAGACATTTTGCTGCCCAAGCCAAAGGATAAGATGGTGCTTCATATAGCACAATGTCCTCCTGAGGGCAGCAGGATGTCTTGGGAAATGCCAAGAAGTCCATGTAGCTCATATAATTCTGTCCCTCCATCATGATCTGCTATTTTACTCTGTCTAATGTAAGGCTTCAAAACCTGCTGGTCTCTGGTGCTGGATGGCCACTCCATGCTATATCTAACTAAAGATTTTGTTATATAGTGTCATTTCAGCAGTTAGTGCTGTCAGAGACAAACTGCATTTTACCTTTAAAGGTTTATTATGATTGCTCTCTCAGGATGTCTGCAAGGAAAGGGAAGGAGATACCATGTGACAATGTTATCTCCCTATGTTAATAACAGCATTTATTATTTTGGCAAAGGCACTGAGAACAGCTTGATTTCCCTCATTAGAACTATGGCAATAGACAATGTGGAAAATCGGGCTGATGCACAATACTGTTTGCTGAAAATGTCCCTGGGAGGGGAAAACCCAGGCTACAGAGAGGTTTTGAGACTACTGAACGCCATATTTGCAATAAAAGAATCCTATTATACCACAAGAAGACATCATTTGAGACCTGTACTGTAATACAGAGTGAGGAAATGGATTTAATAATGTATAATTGGCCTAACTGATATCTATGCTGGATATAATTCATGATTTATTTTATTAGTGAATATTGTTCTTGTTGTGTGCCTTCGAGTTGTTCCTGACTTATAGCAACCCTAAGGTGAACCTATCACAGTTCCCAGGATTCCCTAGCACTAACCCTAACCCTAAAAGTGGACTCAATTTGCACTATTTCTGGCAGTCTCCAACCCCCCATAGTTGAAACAGTCTGTTGGATAGGAGGTTTATAATCTGCTTTTGACCCCAGCTTTGCTCCTCAGAGTCCCCCCACATCAGTGTTGTTGGGTGAAAGTTTAAACCTTCTTGCTAACCTAGCTTTGCTCCTGCAAAAAAAATAGGGTGGGAGAGAAGCTTTAGCTTCCTATGAGGCCCAGCAATATTATGAACCTCAATGCTACTGAGACTTCAAGCAGCTGTCTGAGTCCTTGGCCATGTGGCCTCGTGATGACAGTCATTGTCCAGATCATGTCTGAAATCTTACAAGACTATGAAAGTTCATGAGATTTCAGAAGTGATATCATGGGCTTATACAGACCCATGCATGTGGAGTGGAGACTGGCCTTTTTTTTTTATCAAACCTTCCACACGAGCATGTCATGTGATGCTTGGCTCTCTTTTTGGTCTTGACCACATGACCTGCCCATGAGGAGGAATGGTTATAGATGGGAAGAGGGGACATTGTGCATGAGATATCATGGAAGGAAGAGAATTTTAAGGGAGGATAGCAGTTTCAAAACAGGGTTAATCTGCAATCAGAACAGATACAGAAAACTCTTCCCCCTGCCCATTCAGGTTAGAACACCCTGACTGGCTACGTAAAAACTCCCTCAGGGTATTAACTGACAATCATGGTTGGCAACCTCACCAGACAATTGACTAGTCATAGAACCACCATGCCCCCTCATTCTGAATGTACATATTCCTGTCAACTGTTAATGGTATTATTGATTTTGATTGGTTTATGACCAATTTATGATTGAGTTATGATTATGATAGGTTTAATAGTTGATTTTGTCAGTGTGTGGATGATGGGTGTTGCAGTGATGCTTTTTGGCACCCAGCAGAATCTGCAGGACAAGCCGGCTGCTGTGATCCACAGCCACTTTGTATCTCTTAGCATCAACTGGCTCAGCATCTCTTCTTCAGGATCCTGTCTTCCTCAGTCAAGACAACACATTATAAAGTCCAAAAGCATAGTTTTATTAATGCATATAAAAGTAAAATAAGATAACTAAGTAAAATCCATTGTGATGAACTTGTCCAGTTCAGCCATGAAAGATTACATCTTTAACAATCCCAAAAGCATAGGATTCCAACTTGTTGTTGTTGAAAGTTAAAAAGAAGTTACAGATCCATGGTTCCAGGCCTAGGAGTTACATTATAAAAGCAGTATAAACATACTAGAAGCCATCTCCTAACTACAGGGTTAAAAACTACATGTTTATGTCTGTGTAGCCATCTGGTGTTAGATTCACTTTGTTTTTCTAGATGTTGTTCTCATGAGGAAAATTACAGACACACACATCTCTACATTTCACCTTTGACTGCATAGCCCATCTATATAGCTAACCTAGTGAATGGGCTCTGGCCCTTTGTCCCAGTGCAATAAGCAGTCCAGAGAGGTGGGGAGAATGTTTAAAGCTTTCCTGCTAACACAGCTTTTGTCTAAGAGATTCTTAGCTCTTCACCAGCCATTGGTTTGCTTGTAGTGCAAGACTGTCCTTTCCTCTCTAGAGTTCAAGCTTACCCTGTTGAGTTAACTGAGCAATGGGTACAGACAGGGGAAAGCAGGACATTTCTAAAACAGCTGAGAAATCAGTAAGGAAGAAAGAAAAATGCTAAATGCCTTGCCTGAATCATGACAGTTGGAAAGAATGAAATTATTATATTTCAGACAACCCCTGAAAATTGTCAACCCTGTTCTCATCCACTCCTTTTCAGATGACATGAATGGCTCTGAAGAAAAAGTGGAAGAATATTCAGCCTCACTCTATGTCTTAGCAGCAAACCTTGCTTGTATTTATCTTTTTTACAGAAAAGCAACACCTGCTGAAATTTTCTCTGCCACACAGACATTAAAAGTACAAGGCCCTGTCCTGTCTTTTTTACCTGACAGTCCTACTTTTCAGTTAAAGTAAGTTGTGTTGCCTATGCAAAATGCCTTGAGTTAGTTTGCCAGCTGTCACGTTTTCCTGACTATATGACTGTCAAGTTAGTGCAACATTATAACTTTTATTTGGTTTCTGGATCTTCCCCTCCTATATTGTCTATAAAGTTCTCTGTTGTTTGTTATGTCTGAGAAAGTAATAATAACATGGTACTGTCATCGTTGGGTTCCTTTTGGAATGGGCCTACAGAAGTGAGTATAAGTATCATCTGCCTTTTAAAATGGGATGTTCAATTCTATATCAATTTATATATTTTTCTCCCATAGGAGACAGATATGAGTTTTAGCAAACTTATGTAACTCATACATGCATTATTTCCTCTACTACCTTGTACAACCTTGAGTAATGTGAACCATAATTGCTCACCAATTATTCTGGGCCCCTTGATATTTTGATTTATTTCTGCAATAATAAAAAGAGTGGTTAAGATTCTAGGAAATATAGTTCTTTTTAAACCTTTCCACATTTAAATTATTTCCTGCATTTAATGACACCATGGAGTATAAAAGAAGGCACAGATAAAGGAGAAGGACTTTTTAAAAATGCCTCCATAGGTTCTTTGACTTTGATTTTTAAAATAGCACTGAAACTTGTTGCCTCAGTTATTGATTTTTCTTTAGTTCGTGTGTGTGTGTGTGTGTGTGTGTGTGTGTGTTTGTAAACACACTTTTTCACTCTGAACTCTATTTGGAGTTCATAAAACAAGGCACCAAAACTGCAACTGGCCTTTCAGATGTTCATAGATAACAGTGGTGAAGCCTTGTGGAAGTTCCACTGCAAAATGTGTGGAAAGCCTTAGTAGACTATCCCTATTGTATAATACAATAAAGTATTATATTACCTTTATTCTTTCATTAAGAGTTTATTGGAGTGATCACCTATGGACCAGTAGCTATAAGAAGAATACTGATGAAGAAAGAAACTTCAACCCCACAAGAAGAGC